ATAATCCAATCTCTTTGCGAAGCCACCAACCTTGTTCGGCTTGCGGCGCCCTGAAGGGTTTTCACCAACAAACCTCTCTCATTTGTTCATCTCTCAACTCACCGTCGCCTTACGGTGCCCGTGAAGGTTTTCACCAATAAGACTCTCTCATTTTAATTTCTCTCATCTTTCCATCGCCCTTCGGTGCCCATGAGGGTTTTCACCAATAAGACTCTCTCATTTATTCATCTTCCCTTGCGCAGGACGGATTGTTGCCCCTGATGCAAATCATACCTCTATCTTGCTTGACTTGGCATCCCTCAAAGATTGATTAGAAGGTCTTTCTTTGGACCGTAATGGGGCTTCTGGATAGGGTTAGAAAGAAAGGATATCATAAGGCTCAAAACAACTTGAATGGGTTCAGAATTACAACTTTTGGAATCAGATCTTTCACAAAACCGCAACTTCTGCCCCAGTTTCCTTGCCTAGGGAACTTTGCATTTTATTTTGATGGGACCGAACCGTGAGGCTGCCTACGTATCCTTAAAAGGAATCAGGTCGAACGTAGTTCATGATATAGGAATTTCTTTGTTTTTGTTACTTTTCTCTTTTTTTTTCTTTTTCTCTTTTCTTTTCTTCTTTTCTTTTCTTCCTTCTTTTTTTTCTCTTTTCCATTTTTTTCTTTTCTCTTCTTTTTCCCTCTTTTCTCTTTTTTTTTATATTTTCTATATCTGTACTTCTAAACTTTGCTTCTGATTCCAAAAGAGGGGTATGAAAGAAAATAAATGAGGTTCAAAGGGGTAACAAAAGATAAAGTATTTAGATAGCAGAATAAAATGCCTTCGACATTCCAATCTTCAAAATATGCCAAGTACAAACAACAATTAGACAAACTAAAGAAATCATACATAATATCTTTTGACTGCATCAGAATTGATAGCCATATCTACACATTTGCCTCTATATCTGTTAAGTACAAAGCACCATTTGACAACACTCTTGTTACGATCAACGGCCCCTGCCAATTCGGGGCGAACTTGCCTTTCGCTTCAGCCTGATGGGGAAGGATGTGTTTCAATACATGCTGACCCACTTCAAATTTCCGGGGACGCACCTTCTTGTTGTATGCTCTTGCCATTCTCTTTTGATACAACTGGCCATGACACACTGCTGCCAATCTTTTCTCGTCAATCAAACTTAATTGCTCCAAATGGGTTTTGACCCACTCATCATCATCGATTTCGGCTTCAGCAACAATCCGAAGGGATGGAATTTCAACTTTCGCGGGTATCACTGCTTCAGTACCATATACCAACAAATAAGGAGTTGCACCTACTGAAGTGCGAACCGTAGTGCGATAACCCAGCAAGGCAAAGGGCAACTTTTCATGCCATTGCCTGGAACCTTGCACCATTTTTCGAAGTATCTTCTTTATGTTCTTGTTGGCCGCCTCCACCGCTCCATTTGGCTTGGGGCGATACGGAGTGGAATTTTGATGCATGATCTTAAACTGTTGACATACTTCTTTCATCAAGTGGCTGTTAAGATTAGCACCATTGTCCGTGATGATTACCTTGGGGATTCCGAACCGACAAATGATGTTTGAATGAACAAAGTCGACCACTGCCTTCTTGGTCACAGATTTGAAAGTCTTAGCTTCAACCCACTTAGTGAAATAATCGATGGCCACCAGAATAAACCTGTGCCCATTTGATAACGCTGGCTCGATTGGTCCGATGACATCCATGCCCCAAGCAGCGAAGGGCCATGGTGCGGACATTGTATGCAACTCATATGGGAGAGAATGAATCAAGTCTCTATGTACATGGCATTGATGACACTTGTGCACAAAGCTAATGCAATCTCGTTCCATGGTGAGCCAATAATACCCTGCTCGAAGAATTTTCTTTGCTAGAACATACCCACTCATATGCGGCCCGCAAACTCCATGCGGCCCGCAAACTCCAGAATGTACTTCTGTCATGATAGTTGTAGCTTGTCTAGCATCCATGCACCTCAATAGTCCAAGATTTGGAGTTCTTTTGTACAAAATTCCCCCGCTCAAGAAAATTCAACTAGCCTGATGTCGAATTGTCCTCTTTTGATCGCCTGTGGCTTGTACCAGATATACCCCCATCCTAATGTATTCCATGATATCAAGGAACCACGGTTCACCATCAAGTTCTTCCTCAACCACATGACAATAGGCATGCTAATCACGAACTTGAATATAGCAGAGGGTCAACATATCCTTTATCCGGATGGTGCAACATTGGCGCCAATGTAGCCAAAGCATGGGCAACCTCATTATGGATCCTTGGAATATGCCTGAATTCTATTTATCGGAACCGTTGACAAAGATCATGCAAACATTGTCGATACGGTATGAGCTTTAAATATCGAGTCTCCCATTCTCCTTGAATCTGGTGCACCAAAAGATCCGAGTCTCCCAAGACCAAGACCTCTTGAACTCCCATATCTACCGCTAACCTTAGTTCCAAAATGCATGCCTCGTACTTAGCCATGTTGTTGGTACAATAGAAATGAAGTTGGTCTGTAACAGGGCAGTGATGCCCTGTTTCAGAAATGAGCACAGCCCCTATTCCAACACCTTTCATGTTAGCGGCTCCATCAAAGAAGAGTTTCCAACTAGGCTTGTCATCATGTTCTACCTCGTCAATATGCATCACCTCTTCATCAGGAAAATAAGTCCTCAATGGTTCATGCTCTTCATCCACCGGGTTCTCGGCCAAATGATCAGCCAATGCTTGGGCTTTCATCGCGGTCCAAGTCACATAGGTGATGTCAAACTCTATGAGCAAAATCTGCCACTTTGCTAGTCTTCCAGTGGGCATAGGCTTCTGAAAGATATACATTAGAGGGTCCAGACGAGAAATGAGGTAAGTAGTGTAGGACGACAGATAATGTTTCAACTTTTGTGCCACCCAAGTCGGGGCATAACATGTCCTTTCAAGGGGAGTATACTTAACCTCATAGGATGTGAACTTCTTGCTGAGATAATATATGTCTTTCTCCTTCCTCCTAGTGATGTCATGTTGACCCAATACACAACCGAATAAATTGTCCAGGACTGTCAAATAAAGAATTAAAGGCCTCCCGGGTTCTGGCGGGACCAACACAGGTGGGTTTGACAAATACCCCTTAATCTTATCAAATGCCTCCTGGCACTCATCAGTCCATTTGACCACAGCATCCTTTTTCAGCAACTTGAAGATGGGCTCACAGGTTGTCGTCAGTTGAGCAATAAACCTGCTGATGTAGTTTAAACGCCCGAGCAAACTCATCACCTCAGTCTTGTTCCTTGGAGGTGGAAATTCTTGGATAGCTTTGATCTTCGACGAGTCCAACTCAATTCCTCGACAACTAACTATGAATCCCAAAAGGTTTTTCGGATGGAACACCAAATGCACACTTTGTAGGGTTAAGCTTAAGATTGTACCTGTGGAGCCTTTGGAAAAACTTCCTCAAATCACCGACATGGTCGGCTTGTTGCTTTGACTTTACGATCACATCATCCACATAAACGTCAATCTCCTTGTGTATCATGACATGGAACACAGTAGTCATTGCCCTCATGGAAGTTGCCCCAGCGTTTTTTAAACTGAATGGCATTACCCGGTAGCAATAAGTTCCCGACAGTGTGATGAATGCTGTCTTTTCTGCATCCTCCTCATCCATCAAGATCTGGTGGTATCCCGCATAGCAATCCACAAAAGATCCGATCTCATGCTTGGCACAGTTGTCAATAAAAATGTGGATGTTTGGCAATGGAAAATTATCCTTTGGACTTGCTTTGTTGAGACCGCGGTAATCAACGCACACCCTGGTCTTGACATCCTTCTTTGGCACTGGCACAACATTAGCTAACCAAGTGGGCTATCGCGTGACTCGAATGACCTTTTCATCTAATTGCTTTGTGATTTCTTCCTTGATCTTCACACTCATGTCAGTTTTGATCTTCCTTAACTTCTGCTTGACGGGAGGGAATGCCGAGTCAGTGGGCAATTTGTGAGCCACCAAGTCAGTACTTAGACCCGGCATGTCGTCGTATGACCATGCAAAAATATCTTTATATTCCAATAGTGCTCTGATTATTTCCTCCCTGATTTGTGGTTCCAAGTGTACACTTATCTTGGTTTCCCTGATATTATCTGGATCCCCTAAATTGATTGCTTCAGTTTCATTCAAATTAGGCTTGGGTTTCTCTTCAAAGTGACTTAGCTCTTTACTAATTTCCTCAAATGCTTCCTCTTCATCATATTCTATTTCATCATCACACTCTATTTCTTGGATTATTATTTCAGAGTTAGATTGGCTTTTAAGACTTGGCCGAAGATTCCTCATGCATGTCATGTCAATGAAACCAGCATAAAAAGAACTGTACAAAGAAAGAAAAGAAAATGACACTATCAGGAGTAATGGAAAAGGGAAATTGCATTTCATTAAAAATAAAGGATAGAAGGGTTTGTACATCAAAACAGACGGAAAATAAAAATCTGAATTACAACTCTGGAATAATCCAGATAACTGAAAGGAAAACAAAGCAAACAACCAAAACTCCTTCCGGGTAGGGAGAGGAGTGGCATCCCAATTGCTAAGCTTCACTTTTGGCCCAATGAATTGCACATTCGCTTTGCTGGACCCTTCCCCGATTTCTACCATGTTCACCTCATCAAATAGACTCTGGAACCTTTTAACCAATTCTTCATCAAAATCAACCACGGGCTTTGGAACTGTTGTTACTGGACGCTTCACGACCCCTGCCTTGATGAAAGACCTGGAGAGACGTGGGACTGGCTTAGGGAGCAACCATGTCTTCTTTTTCAGCTTTCTAGCCTTCTTCACATCACCCGCTGTAGGCTTGAACCCCAGACCAAATGTACCCATATTTTCACGCAAAGACACCGGCTGCACGATACCTTGCAAAGATGCACCCAGACCCTTACACAGTAAAAAACCATTTTTTAACATCTCGGTTGCTACCATGACGGTTGCAGAAGCTAATTTTGATAGACCCACGGCCCGTTATCTTCTTCAGCTTCAATAAACGGGATGGAGGTATCATTGAAAGCACATAAGTTCTCATCGCCATGCACGATGATTTCTTGTCTATCCCATTCGAACTTCACCATATGGTGTAGAGAAGATGGAACTGCTTTGCCAACATGTATCCAAGGCCTTCCCAACAACAAATTGTAAGAAACGGCCACATCCAGTACCTGGAACTCCATGGAAAATTCAACCGGTCCTATTGTCAACTCGAGCATGATGTCACCAACAGAGTCTTTTCCCCCTCCATCAAAACCTCGGACACATATACTGTTCTTGTGAATCCTCTCATCATCGACTTTTAACTTGTTCAGAGTAGAGAGAGGGCAGATGTTTGCACTGGAACCATTGTCAACTAGCACCCTTGTGACCACAGAATCTTCGCATTTCACTGTGAGATAGAGGGCTCGATTGTGTTCCGTACCCTCCAGAGGCAAATCATCATCCGAGAATGTGATCCTGTTAGACTCAAATATCTTATTAGCAATCTTCTCCAAATGGTTCACTGTGATTTTGTCGGGGACATGAGCTTCGTTAAGAATCTTCATCAGGGCCCGACAGTGCTCATCTGAATGGATCAACAATGATAGCAGGGAAATCTGAGCAGGAGTCTTTCTCAACTGTTCCACGATGGAGTAATCTTGTACCTTCATTTTTCTCAAAAACTCCTCCGCCTCTTCTTCAGTGACCGATTTCTTCACTAGAACTGGATTGTCTCTGAGTGTTTTAGCTTTCCTTAACTCTTTCGGGGCAAAGCATCTCCCCGAACGAGTTAATCCCTGGGCTTCGTTAACTTCCTCTTTTACTTCCTTCCCCTTGTAGGTCACTTCACTCACTCATAGTTCCATGGGACAGTCTTGGTGTTAGCTACCGGCAGCTGGGTCACAGGTTTGATAATGATGGGGTCCGTACGAGCACCCTCCACAATTATGACCTGCTTACTTGCTACCCTGGCACGATCACCTTTGGCTTTTCTTGCTTTGCTACAACATCACTTGAGGACTTCTTTTCAACTACCACATCTGGCTTATTATTTGGCATGATCAACTTGTCCGCTGATCCTTCATCTATCAAAGAGGTTTCTTTTGTGACAATCGGGTCCTTGACTGACTTACTTTCACTAGAGCGGATCATCATGACAGATTGTGAAGGCTTCTTGGGCTTCCCATCTTTGTGCACTATCTCAATCATGTGTGTTTCAGCATGGGCTGGTAATGGGTTCTAATTGATGTTGGGTGCTTCTTGGCTCTAGACCACAATTTGGTTCGTGTCAATAAGCTCTTGGATGGCGTTCATCAAGTGCCAACACTTTTCTGTGTCGTGCCCCAGAGTATCAAAACAGTACGCACATCTGAGAGAATAATTCGGGTTCTTTGGAGGGCGGTTTGGTAGTTTTGACTCAATTGGCCTCAGAATATCCAACTGCCTCAACCTTTGAAATAAGCTGGTATACGATTCCCCAAGCGGGGTTAAAGTTTTCTTTCACTGCAACCTTTCATTCCTGAATTTTGGCTTGGCCCGAAAGTTTGGAATGGTAGAGTTTCGGCATGTTTGAGGAGGTGGGTAAGGGTTTCGTGGAGCTGGTGCACGCCATTGCGGGTGAGGAGGGGGTTGAGCATATGACTGTGCATGATGTACATGATATTGGGGTTGCGGGACTGAGTATTGAGGCTCTGGTGGTGGGAAGTAATGTTGAGATAGATTATATGGAGTTGGGGTATAGGTTTGAAGCTGGGGTCGAGGTTGAGCATAGTGGTGAGGAGAAACCCCCAGGCCATGCCATGATCCCGAGACAACCATAGCGACGTCCTCTTTCTTCTTTTCCCCTAGCACGCCTCCGGTGCCATTCTGGATTGCCTGCATAGTTGCTTTGATGGCAGAGTAGCTCATGATCTTGCTTGATTTGAGCCCTTCCTCTACCAGTCCTCCCATTTTCACTACTTCATTAAAAGATTTACCTATGGCCGAGATCAGATGGCCAAAGTAAGTAGGCTCCAAAGCCTGAAGGAAATATTCCACCATTTCATCCTCCTCCATTGGAGGGTTAACCCTTGCTGCCTGTTCTCTCCAGCGGAAACCATATTCCCTGAAACTTTCACTAGGCTTCTTTTCTATCTTAGTTAAAGACAAACGATCTAGAACAATTTCTATGTTGTATTGGAAATGTCGAGCGAATGCTTGGGCCAAATCATCCCATGTATACCATCTGTTGTGATCCTGTCGAGTGTACCATTCCAATGCCGCGCCACTCAGACTCTGGCTGAAGTATGCCATTAACAGCTCATCTATCCCACCGGCTCCTCTCATTTTACTGTAGAAACCCTTTAAGTGGGCCACGGGAACTCCGTATCCGTCATACAAGTCAAATTTGGGCATTTTGAACCCAACAGGTAGCTGTGCGTCGGGAAACAAACACAGATCTTTGTAAGCTACACTCACTTGACCTCCCAACCCTTGCATCTTTCTAAGCGACTGTTCTAGGCTTCTCACCTTCCTAAACATCTCCTCCAGTTCCGGGTTTTTAGGTGGTTTCTCAGTCTCAGCAGGAAGGTCGAAACGAGGAGTGTAGGAGTAATGATCTGGGGCCTTGAAGGTAGGCTCTAGGGGATAGTACTGATTATCTTGGGTCTAGAATAACGGCTCACTGGAAGATCGATGGAGTGTGGCTGGTGGAGGTGCTACGAAAACAGGGGTAGCCGGTGGAGGGGGGTATGGGGTTATTTTAGATGGTGGAGCTTGTATGGTTTGGGAAGTGGTGCCATGGTAGTGGTGGTAAGGGGTGAAGCTTGGTGCGTGTTGTGGGGATAAATCAACAGCGGGGGGCTCCTAAGATTGAGCTAGTGGTGGGATGAAAGCAGGGTTGGCGGGGTATGATGGTGGGGGATGCCCTTTCATCCATGCCTGGTACATCTCAGCCATTTGGTGCTTCAACTTATGTAACTCCTCTTTCAGACTAGACTCAGATTCCTCCAGCTATCTCGGTGGATCAATAATACTCTCGTCCAGTTCTTGGCCAGCCATGATCAACCTGTTTTTAGACCTAGTGTTGTATGGGTGAGTTGCCAGAATGCCGAACAAACTAACCACCTTCCTGTTTTTAACGACAATAGCGAACTTGTTAGTGTTTAAGATTTAACAGATAGGCAACCACACATTTGGGATGCAATGCACCTAAACAGTTAAAGCTTCTACTGTGTAATTGAACGGCTGCATGCTTCATCCCGGCTTTTAACTAACTCTTCTCATTGCTTTCTCTTCTCTCTCTTTTTTTTTTCTTTTCACTCCAACCCCTCTTTAATTACTATTGGCCTTTCCCGCTTGTTTTTGTCGCTTCCCTTTTATTTTGCACTCGTTTTTCTTTCTTGTTTTGCCATTATTTCTTTCCACTCAATTTTCTTTTTATTTTCTTTTTTCTCTCTTCTTTTTTCTTTTCATTTTATGGTTATGATCGAATCCTATGGGGATTGCCTACGTATCATGACGCCGCATGAATCAGATCATTACATAGTTCAGGGAGATTAGGAATAAAATAAATAAACCAACCCCTTTTTGGGATTTTGAATTTTTTTTTTTAATTTTCGAAATAAAGACTTACAAATAAGAAAGAAAATATTTTTTTTGATTTTGATTTTTTTTTTCTAGAATTTCGAAAGACAAACTTCTCAAGAAAGAAGAAAATATCTTTGGATTTTTTGGGCTTTTATGTTAAAATTTTGAAAGAAAGACTTCTAAAGAAAATATTTTTGAATCTTGAATTTTCTTTTCAATTTTTGAAAGAAAAAAGAAAAAAATGAAAACGTTTTTGGATTTTTAGAAGAAATTAAAAGAAAAAAAATCTTTTTTTGGATTTTTTTATTGGGGTCTCAAAGAAAGACTTTTCTAAAGAAGGAACTAAAGGAAAATATATTTTTTTTTGGATTTTTGAAAATTGGGGGCCGGAACCGATGAGAATCAGACCCATGTAGTTCGGTCAATTTTGACGCAACAGAAAAACACTTTAACATAGCTTTTCCTTTTTTTTGTTTTGTTTTTTTTTTCAAAAAAATTTCGGCAGAGTTTCGGGGTATTTTGGACACCAGGTTTTTCACAAGCGGGTAATTTCCTCTCTCCTACCTCAGTTTGGTTTTTCTCAATTTTCCTTGTCTATTCTAGAAGCCGGTCAACATGCAATCCGAATTAAATAAATGTGCAAGTAGCAAGTTAACTGCATCAGGATGGTCTTTTGATTTCGGGTACACCTGTCCTAGACGGACCCAACCCCTATGTTGAGTCCCCGAAGTCAAATGCATGCGATGCAAACAAGTGTTCCTAATAGGGATCCGGCATGAGGCTATGTCATACTAGGTTTAAAACCTGGGTGTATTGTTCTAGACCTGGCTTTCCCGAGCGGACAGCTCGAGCCGAGGGGGGCAGCGTACCGGGAATACAGAAGCTTCACCGGCTTTGCAACTTATCCGAACCTCGTTCTCAAATTGGGATATGACTCTAACAGAAGAGAAGTCACACGAAGTGCACCCTTCCCATATGATTTAGAAGACTCAAAGAGAGGAGGGTTTCGTAACAATTTATATACAGTCTAAACAATATCAAAGCGGTAATTAGCACATTAGGCTCAAACATATAAAAATCAGATAATAAAAGCCAAACATAACAATTATTTTAAGCTCGAATTCTGAACTCTGAACCATTGATTCTGGGTTCTTATCCCCAGCGGAGTTGCCAGAGCTATCACACCTCTTTTTTCTACCACCCCGCCCGAGGGGGGTATAAGGGAGTTTTTCAATTAAAGTGACATTATTCAAAATAGGATTATTTTATTTCAATTTTTCAGAGTCGCCACTTGGAAAAGTTTATTTGATGTCCCAAGTTACCGGTTTATTTTAAAATCCCAAATCGAGGAAATTTTGACTTTATTTGAAAGTCTGCGAAGCCAAAAATTCTAAGTAAGGAATTTTGTTAACCCGAGAGAAGGTGTTAGGCTATCGTCGGTTTCGTGGTTCTAGCACGGTCGCGTTAAACTGTTAACTANTTGAAACATTCAAAAATGGACTGATAAACAAAAGGAAGAAATGCGGTGCTGCGAACGCTGGCAGTCACCTCGCTAAACTCCGATAACTGAGCCTCCGACCAGCTCAAAACTCGCTACCGGGTGAAACAAATACCTGCATCAGCACACGAGGTGCAGGGAGTAAAGTGAGTACTCCAACTCCGTGAGTAATAAAGGTAAATAATAACTGAGCCGTAAGAAATCACGTAAAGCAACCCATCATGCTGTATAGAAGCAGTGTAAAACCCTTTGAGAAAATCGGTGAAGCTGTGAAATCTTTAGAAATATCTTAGCTCGGTTTAAAACCTCTTTAGAAAATGACCTTTTCAACAGTTATGCAAATGATTGCAAACAAATAGTGCAGATAAGCACAGAAGTCCGCCCCTCGGGCACCACACTCAATTAACAGATAATGTCAGGCAATCCGGTAGATATCACATGAAGTAGCACAAACAACAGATAATGGCAGACAATGAAATAAAGTAAACACATAGAACAGTACCAGTACCGCTACGGCGTGCATCCCGATACATATATCGCTGCGGCGTGCAGCCCGATCCATATATTTCATCGACGGCGCTCACTGGGGGTGTGCAGACTCCGGGAGGGGCCCCTTACGGCTCAAGCGCAATATCAAGCCATCTCGTGGCATCGAATCTAGGCCCTCGGCCTCATATCAAATCAGTATCTCACTGCCGCGGCATGCAGCCCGATCCAAAAGTATCCTCACAATACAGGCCATCAGCCTTACTCAGTCAAAAATCACATAAGCCACTAGGGCAACAGTAAAACATGATGCTCAGCCCAAATATTATTGGAAATATCATTTCAAGTGTTAAAGCAAAATAAACTTGGCTGAGTCCTAAAAACAGTGGAAAATACATGACTGAGTTCAAGTATAAAATCAAAACAGTGAGGAAATTTTAACAACAATCCCCGAAGGGTTCAAATAGCTGGCACGAAGCCCAAATATGGCAATCAGCCCAAATTATGATGATAACAAGTAAATTTCAGTCAAATACGCAGTAAATTCATCAATCGGGACGGACCAAGTCACAATGCCCAACGGTGCTCTACCCCACGCTCGCTATCCGGCGTGCAAGTCACCTCAATATAGCACTACGATGTGCAAATCCGGGGTTTC